CATTTCAATATTTTTCTTTAGGATATGCTAAATATATTTTCTCAGACAACTTTTTTCATTCTATATGAAACAGCAGGCATGATAATGAGGCATGATGGAAGCACATCAAAAGCACTAGTTAGGGATAACCTCCATAACTCACCTATAGCTTTGCTACTTGTGGAGTGACTCCAAACCCAGACTGATAATATTTTAATGCCCTAACACTTCATCCTTTAAAGGAGGCACGCAGCAGAGAAATTTTGCCAATCCAAATCTTACTATTTTGCAACAGTTCTGTACCATAAGATTTGCAGCTAAATAAAATTACTTATACAGGGAATAATTAACTTAAAAATTATTTTATGAGCTACTCATCTGGGGGAAAAAAAACCCCTTTTTGGCTCTGCAAGTCAAGCATACAGTTTTAGCATAAGTAGCAACATATTTAGTCATTTACAAACTATGTGAGTGTTTCTTTTAACCTCAGATATCACCAGATTCTTCTGCTCCCAGATCTTTCTGGCTTCAGCCTTCTCCTTCTTATTCAGAATTTCAGGATTTGGCATGGCTCCTGCAGTCCTTGCTTCAATAAATTTGGTTACAAGTGTCCAGAGACGAGTCTGCCATCTCTGAACACCTGGCATAGCATCAGCTGAGATTAATGAAAGATTGCAGAAAAAAATTTCAGTTACAATGAATGAATCCAAAACTTTAGAGAAAAGCAGAAAGGAAACTGAATGCTAGAGTGGGGTTTTTTTGTTTTGTTTTGTTTTGTTTAAGAAAAGCAGAAAGGAAACTGAATGCCAGAGTGGGTTTTTTTTGTTGTTGTTTTTTTTTTTTTTTTTTAAAACCAAACCCCCGTATTTTAACTTAAAAATGTCAATGACATTAAAAATGTCATTACAAATAATGCTGAGTTGCCTTAATGGAAAGAAATCAATAAGATAAAACGTAAGTATTTTCTGCAAGGACTTGTAAAACTTATATACCACAAGAATATTTGCTAAATCTGTAAAATAACCCAACAGTATGTCAATGTTAGAATGCTCATCTCGTTTTAATTTCTCAACAAAGCAAGAAGCTAACACAAGAAAGAATGAAGAAATACACCTTGTTAAACCAGGCATGGAGTGTGTTATTAAAGCCTCATGCAACAAGAAGGCTAGATTTAAATGTATGCATAAGGCTACATTAAAGGGTATGAACCACAGTAGATAAAATAAATTAATATCTGCCAGTATGACAAATTGCATCAGGGAGGAGTTCTTATTCAAGAATTAAGCTCATAAAAATGTCATGGGTGTACAAATATTAGTTATTAAGAACTCTGATTATCTTCTAATGAGATTCTTCTGAGAAGTATTTCATGGTCCAGCTTACAAAAACCATTGTACACATGTGTAAATAAATGGAAATAATAAAAAATTGCAAAGTTTTATCTGTAATCTGATATGATTAAAAAAAAAATCTTATAATGAAGAAAATAATCATAAAATAATATTTTTCAGTCAACCAATCATAGCTAAGAAAAAAAAAGAAAATGAGGTCCAAGGGTTATTTCAGAAGTAAATACCACTTGAGAAGTACTTTTCATACATGCTTTTAGCTTGAAAGAGGTAAGCTGCTTGCAACAGTCTTGCAAGCCTCTCTCTCAGTGACAGCTTTGTGATCCCATCTCTTTAAAAGAAACAAACAATAAAACCTGCTCATTATACTGTTTTGATTCAATTGTTCCAAAACTTGGTCATCTAGAACTGTACTAATTTCATATTTAAAATATAACATGCTAGAATTTTTTTTTTAAAAAAAACCAATAAAGTCAAAAACCCACAACAAAAACCAAATCAACAACAGAAACAATTTGCCTTACTTTTAGTCTCCCACAAAATATCTTGTTCTGGAGGGGCAGCAAACAGAATGTAGAGACGTAGGGTGTCAATGCCATACTCTTTCAGTAATTCTTCAGGATCTATTCCATTGTGCTTAGATTTGCTCATTTTTTCCCAAGTAACTTGGACCTTCTCACCAGTTTTTAGGTAAACTGGTTCAGTTCCTAATTATTAAGACATACACAAAATATTAAAACAATTTTTTGCTCATTTGTATCACCAATTAATATTGTTACTTAAGTATAAGAAGAAACAACTATTTCTAGTGGCTTTGTTTGTTTGTTTCCAAACAATTGAAAGAGGAAAATTATTTTCTCTCCCATTTTTCTCCCTACTTTCATGTTTTAACACAATTAATATCCCAATGCTTCCACTGCATCGTGACAAAGTCTCTTTCTACTGTGTGGAAGCTGTATCAGGCACTTATCCTCTGTGCCACCTTGATAGCCCCTGAGATTTAAGCATTGTCATAAGATGACATTTAAAACCTCCTAGATAGGTGTACTGGTTTGGTACAATTTTCACCTGCACTTCGCTTTTAGGAACACCAGATTTCAATTCATAGGTTTCAACTGCAGCAAGTTATCCTGGCAAGAACTTGCCTTCTGTTGCATGAACATAAGAGATGGAAAGGAGCATTTTATACTGATAAAGGTGCAATTGAGCAAAACCACCTGCTATAGAAAAGCCCTCGCTTTTCTGAAAGAAAATACGATAGCAGCCGCTGGTAAATGTAAGAGGGTTTTTTGTTTGTTTTTTAACTTGCTTATGGGATCTGAGTGCAGGAGAAGACCAATGAAAAGGTCTTCTTTGGTTACCTTTGCCATGGTGTTTTTGTGGTTGTCTGTTTGCTGGGACTACTAGCTCCGTTCAGCAAGTTGCTGAGCACTGTCTTAAAACTGACTTCTGGTCCTCTGGACTACACTGAAGCTAAAATAACACCATAGAACTGTTTATGTGCTTGGATGCAAATAAAAGCTACTGGATTAGTGCACTCTGTGCACTCAGAGTGGATAAGAATCCAAAGCTCACAGAAGTTGCTCTCCAGTTTAAATATTACAAGGATTCATTTTATCTTCCAAATTTTCCCAGCACTGAGACTTGTACAGTAAAACAGTCCTTGATTTTCTGGAGGCATCTACACTGGTTTTCCCATGTAGTCGCTCTTACCAGTGAGATCAACCTCTTCTCTCTTCAAACACTGGCCTGTTGTTCGTCTGAACGTCTGATTCTTGATAAGACCTTGAACCAAGAGCTTATGGAAAGGCTCCCTATGAACAGAAGGAAAAAGAAACTTGTCTGTTGAAATGAGCTGTCAAAAGCGTACTTTATGATAAGCTTCAGGTGTTAAGCCAATCAGGCACAATTATTTAACAAAACAAGAATTTCAAGTTGACTATACATAAATGGGTGTCACCTTAGAAAGAGCACTTTGTGCATTCATCCATCGTGGCTGGCTGGCAAGTATATGTGTTTGTTTGTATTCTGCATACAATCCTGCATCCTGATTTAGTCCTGAGTTACTCTAACACCACTTTTCAAATGGATAATACACAAAAGTTTCTTGTTCAGCTGTGCAATTTCACTAACCTCAAGCTAAATCTCCATTTGTAAAGGTGTTCAAGGACGTGGCCTCACTGTCTTACAAATACTTAGCTCTAGCTTCTCTCTCAGGAGCACAGCGTTTTGAACAAATCAAAATGTCACTGCACATTTCTTTCTATAAACGGAGAAGATGGTTTCTCTAATGTTAAGTACTTGCATGCCTTGTCCCTTTGCAGAACTAGCTGTGAAGACCCAGATGTAAGAAATAAGTACACAAGAAAGATGGATGCTGAAAGGCTGAGGGAGCTGGGTCTCTTTAGCTTGGGGAAGAGGAGACTGAGGGGAGACCTCAATAATGTTTATAAATATGTTAAGGGCGAATGTCATGAGGATGGAGCCAGGCTCTTCTCAGTGATGCCCAATGGTAGGACAAGGGGCAATGGGTGTAGCTGGAACACAGGAGGTTCCGCTTAAACTTGAGAAAAAACTACTTTACAGTGAGGGTTACAGAACACTGGAACAGGCTGCCCAGGGAGGTTGTGGAGTCTCCTTCTCTGGAGACATTCAAGACCCACCTGGACGCCTTCCTGTGTGATCTCATTTAGGTTCCTGCTCTGGCAGGGGGATTGGACTGGATGATCTTTCGAGGTCCCTTCCAATCCCCAACATTCTGTGATTCTGTGATCACATGTCAGTGGATCAATTTTTTAGCATCTTGAACATTAAAACTTTACTTTTTATAAACTTTTATATCCGGGAGAGTAAACTCTCATCAGTGTGTATGATAGAGCTAAAAAGAGTCTTAAAAGGACCAAACCTAAGGGCAGTGGTGCACTCAGCAAGAAATAAACTTGAAGTAAACACTGTTCTGGTTGACGGATACTTTATTGCTGCCACGTCCTTTAATGATCTTGCATTTCTAATTCATCAAGTCAGATGTCTGTCATTGTTTTCACTGAATAAAAGACAACAAAATAATTCTCTAGAGGTTTTGGTCTCCACTCAATACATCAGGAAAGTAAGGTAGTTCTAATAGCATCTCCAGGAATGCTAGGGGCCAGGGAGAAGGTATGGAGCCAGGTTACATCAGCACTGGTTACTACTGACCTGCACCTCCTAATGATTACATGTGTGCTCAACATTAAGCAATCTGAATCCTCCTCATTTCCACCTAACAAAGTCCCACATATTTACTGAAACAACTTATGTAAAAAGAATGTTTCACTTATATTTACATATTTTTCAAAAAGTTAGAATAAATCCATCCATCTAAAGAAGAAAAAGTAAAAAGGTTCCATATTTTACTTCACATGTACAAAAAGTCATAATCCAAAACACCACTCACTTTGTTTTAGTATTTTATATTATTAGGCAATATAAATTATATGACAATTTATCTCATGATTTAAACCACTGTGATTTATTGAATAATATAGTCTAATTAAATTATATAACAATTATGCAAGTTTTAACTATATTAAAGCAGATATCTTCCAAGTACTACTCTTTAAATCCTTTTGATGACTCTGAAGTAAGGAGATATTTGAAAGAAACACTTTAAACTGGGAGAGAGAAAGTGACAGGCTTCATAGTTTATCTTCATCATATTCATATCTGAACACGAGTCTCCTTCCTTGCATATTTTGTACACTTCTAAACATTGTGCAAGTACTGGCACATAGAGTATCATTCGGTCACTAAGCAGCACTAGTCTCCACCATGCCACCTGGTTTTATCAACAATATTAAGGAAGAACTAACAATTCAAGTATCTCTACAAATATTTTTCTAAACAATATTTCATAGGTTGCCTGAAAACTGTTGTTTAGAAATAAATTAAAGGAACTTAAGGAGATGACAACTGAAACCAAATTTAGACAATACAAATGAGAAAAAGTATTTTTAAAATACTGGGCAATAATTATCTAAATAATTACTTCAAATTATCCAAGTGAATTAGAAGATGAAAACTGGGAACAAAACTTGTAACCCTATCATCAACAAATGGTATAAAAATGCTTCAGGGGACAACTGTTCAAGATAAGTTTCTTCTACAAACTAAAGACATTACACCAAGGAAAAATAAAAAGACTTTTCCCCCCATCATTCAGACTTCAGTCTGGTTAAGATCTCAAAAAGTTATTAAAATAGTGACACTTGCTGCTATCTAAAATAAAGCTAACGAGGTAGCCAGAACATCCAAATCAGATAGGGCTCTCTACTGGAAGTGATTTTTCAAGGAACACTTCTTTTTAATGACAAAGAATTAGTTCAGATCATATGCCAAGTAATTGAAAGCTGAATGCAGGAATAAGCATTTCCTATTTTTGTTTATGCTGACAGAGGCTACAAAAATGCAATACAAAATACATTACCAAGTATGGGAAAAAATATCCCCACGTGTTGCTAGTGGGAGACCGCAGAAGAATGGAGACATGCCCAAAATGAGAAAGCCAGAGTCCTTCTAACAAACGCTGGGCTCAGAAACAACGCCAGCCCCGTACTCAACTTCTGAAGCGCACAGGGGTTTTGCCAGTGTTGTGGTGGCTCCATCTTATGGTGACATGCAGGGTGACACTTCAATTTACATTAATAAAACCACACACCTAAAACCTCCCCCTTCGAAGAAAGCGATGTGTTTTTTGGCTGCTGAAGGGGACTGCCCCCTCCCTGGAAGTGTTTAAGGCCAGGCTGGATGAGGCTTTGAGCAACCTGGTCTAGTGGAAGGTGTCCCTGCTGATGGCAGAGGGGGTGGAAATGGATGATCTTTATGGTCCCTTCCAACCCAAACCATTCTATGCCAAGACGCCGCAGCACATCAGGTGCATTGCAATTCTGATCTAAGCCTGGTGTCATACATACGTCCTGAGTCACACCACTGGGAGCAACTGAAACAGCTACATTTGGACAGACGGCTGGTTCTGGCACAGTAAGCAAAGAGGTGGCTTGAGTTTCTTTGAATGCTCAAACACATTTCAAGTTGTAAGGATGCTGGAACTGGATACACCTTCACCTGCCCGTAAGTCTGTGCCCACGCTGGGGTACGGGCACTGTGGCCTTAGCTGTGTGCAGCTTTTGATCATGTTGTATGTCAGATGGAACCCCACCGGGGAAATCTGCCTGACACCTCCAAGAAGGATCAGCTGTGCTAGCCATGAAGTGTGTAATCCATCTTTTTGCTTTCAGTAATGTTCACATGCAGGTTCATTTCTATGACAGACCAATCTCTCCATATAGGAGCACACAATGGATGGGGGGCCAAGTGTGACTGAAAGATCAGGAACTCCTGCTCAGTGCCATGTCCCCAGGCTCCTCGCTCTGCTCCATGCAAGGTGACTAGCGAGATTTTCAATCCAGTTAAAAATGACCTGGCTGGAAGGACTCTGCGGAGCCTTCAACAGTGATGAACAGTGGACTCAGAAGAAGGGACAGCTCTAGCAAGGGAGCTCGCTGCACGTGTTTGCATCCCACACAGTTAAGACAAGACCTTGGTCAGTCACTGTCAGCTGAATTCACAGGTGCTTGTGAAACCTGCATTCAGATCTGTCTGTAACAATCTGTCAATCCTGTAGAAGGCCAGAAGCGACTGGGGCATGTGGGAGCTGATCATTTTAGGCAGAAAAAAAAAAAATCAAACAATACTGAACACTCAGATTTTACACAGTCAATAGCTGAGTGCTTTTACTTGAAATCAACACAAGGGATAAAGTCCCTAATGAACACAGAGGAGCTCTAACATTCCTCCTTCACAGAATAAGCTATTTCTGCCACGCACATCATCTTTTATTCTGTAACGCAGCTATGTAAAAACAGTGCCTCTTACTCAACAGATTTGCTTTCTGTCACTGTCAAATCTGCTGACTTAATGGACACAATAAATTTTATTGCTTTAGTATCCTTCAGAGAGAGCATGCTAGTTTCCATTTACTGTTATTCATCAGACAGAACTGATTACTGAAGTCTAGGGAAGAGCAAAATTCTGTGTAACTTGTACTTGCGGTAACACAACTGAGCAGGTGTAACCGCGTGTGTCAGCACACCCTTGCCACGGTGCATTAAGCTGGAACAGATAAAGGAGGTTCCTGGCCCCACCTGCCTACCTGGCCCCTCTCCCAGTGGTGGTCACAGCTGGGAGGGCTGAATGGCTTGTGAATTAATTCCAGATCCGATGCACTTGACAGAGCAGATTGATAAAACAAAATGACATCAATTTAGGCTTAATCTGTTACCACATGTACCAATAACCAGAGGGTGCTATTTATTCTGCCTTGTCACTACTGAGGAAATGAGCAGCACTTCCCATCATCTCCAGTTCCATACTTTAAAATAAAAGATCATGCCCCATCTTCGGGGGATATTTAAACTATACTGACACCTTTACGATTTTAGATGCCTATACACATTGCATCTTCTACAAAAGCACGTGTGACATCTGTAAATGAATGGCCTATAATATTTCTCTTGCAATCAGGTACATCATATGTGAAGAGATTGCATTGAAAATCTAAAACTACGACTCTTAATCTTAAACCTTTGATTTCAACCTCATTATTATATTAATAGCCATCAGTACAGAATTTGAGACTATCAGGAAATATTTCAATGGGTTTGAAAGTCAGTAGATAGGAGCCAAACAATGAAAATTTCCATGAAGAAAACCTATCAAAATGAAAAATTACTGCAGATTAATAGGGGAATCATAAAAATTTGTCGGGATACTAGATAACACTTTAAATGGTGGCAGCTCTCGTGAACTGACATGTAGCAGAATTTTACTAATTTAATCAGGGAACAAAATCTGAGCTACTAGAGAAAGGTTGGAAATGCACAAGAGGGCAGTGGTTTTTAACATTTTAATGTTTTTCCTTGGAGCTGTGGGCTTTGACACCATGACTTTAGGCTTCCTAACAGTAAGTTTGCTGTTTCTAATCACCCTTGTCAGATCTCTCACACCAGCCCTTGAGCAGTCCTAACAGAAGACTGAGCAAAAGTGGCTTCTGACCAATGCTAATATTTAAGACATGTGGCAACATTTATAAAGGTGTTGAGATTTCCATATCAAAACAAAAAACCTAATTTGACTTCATGGCTTAAAAGCACCTCATGCTTTAAGGGTGTAGAGCTAAAGCAAGCAATGCATATGTAGGTTCCTCTTTTTCATCAAGTTTTTAGAGTGGATACGAGTAAAGAACAAATGCATATGAGTTGCTCGCTGAGAAATTACTGAGCAGTGGCTCTCATGGGATCACTCATTTTGACTCAATCTATTAAAACGTCTCTGCTGATGGGAGAACTGGGCAGAGCATGGGGCAGTATTTCACTGTTCTGACACCAGTACCCTTCCTGTTAAGGCACTCCTGTGATGGCAATTTAGGGTAAAAAAAGGGCAGAATTTCAGTGGAAATGGGGACAACAAACTAGGAACCTGAGAGGACAAAGAATAGAACATCAGGTGACTCACCTTCCTGCCTCAAACTTTACCTCCAACCAAAACAGAGAATAATGAATTAAGCTATAGCAGCATCAGCAACAAGACTAGTTAAAAGTAATTATGTAAAAGTCATTAAACAAAAATAAATTGACAGCAGGTACATATACTGCTTTTGCTTATCAAGAACTGTTTTGCAGTGTTCAGCTCCAATACTGCAGTGATTTATAGGAGTGCTTAGTTTTCTACATATGCATGGTTCCACTGAAATTAATGTTATTACCATGCACACAGTTACTTAATTTGAAATAATAGCACTACTCAGAATGCCTGAAGTTACTAGTTTATGCAAGCTTTTGCAAGCAGAAAATCTACAGCAACGTTTTATCACTTGCTCTGGCCCAGTTAACACTCATACAATAAAAATGCTATGTGTGTACACAGACAGAAAATGCTACTGACTGTGAGAAACCAAGTAGTTAGCCAAGACTGACAAGCAGGAAAATTCAGGCTTACTCAATGTAATGTTCTACCATCATAACAATGTCCACTAACACTCTTGCTAGTCACATGAAATATGAAAGATTTTTATAGAGATATATAAGGCTTACTTGTGTTTTGTCATCTTTAGGTCATGGCAAAAATGGCTGAAAAACCTCGCATAGAATAAGTGCATAACTGCATGCTCCTTTCCTCCAATGTACAAATCCACAGGCAGCCAGTAGTCTGCTAAGTCATTACCAAAGGGCCTGGAAAAAACACAATTACGGAAAAAGTACAACATGGAAAAGAAAGATCAGTGCTAGTAAAGTAGCTCATCATACTTGACTAGACACCACTATTTACAGAGAGCTATACATGTGTAATAAAACTTTTATGTTGCTATCAGATCTCTTTAATTTTTAAGAAGCGATATGCTTATTAAATTATAGATAAAATTTTAATTGCCTCTGAAAAGCAGATCCACAAAAATATTATTTTCATATATTTTAAGCAAGCAACTAAGATTTCACATACAGTATCTGAGAAAATGATGAAAATATTTGCTTGCTTTTTAAATGCTTTTTTCATAAATACCCTGTGGCTAGCCTTTAAATTTTTTAGTATTTATCAAGTGTTACATACAAATACATTACAGTGAAAGACAAAAGATTTGCCTACTCAAAACAGTTGATTTTTATTTTTTTTTTAATTGGAGGTTTGCATTGTTGCCATTAGAGGGCAATGAAGCAGTTTACTATAAGGTTGCAAAACATTTTTGAAGAGTTAGATGGGTCGTCGTACTCCAGCTGAAGGATGCTCTATGAATTTACAGTAAATTTGTCATTTAGAGCATATTTACTATGTCGTTGGAAGTGACCTGCATGGTTTCCTAGCATTGCTTGCTGCTTCATTAACTATTGTTACGTCTCCTGTAATGGGCTCCTGCCTTCAAAATACCATTTGTATGTATGTTCTTCTTTAAGGTACGTTGTATGGCCCCGTTCTAACAAATTCACTTGTTTTGTCAGCTAGTTTGATTATTCCATCTGTAATTTTTCTAATAGCAACATTTTTTTTTCCTCACAGATGAGCCTAGAAGCAAATAGTGGATCTGGGATTCAAGTCTTTAGTGGAACAAGTCAAAACTAATTTGTTCACAGGGCTCCAAAATCAACAGTAATTCTCCCAAATTCTAGACCTGTGCAATATGACTTATTGGAAATAATGGGTTTATGTACACCCAGCTTAGCTTAAAAAAACCAAACCAATAAATCAAATGGAGGTAGCAATCTAATGCAGAACTTCATAAAAATGTTATTTCAATATAAAACAGATTTAGCTTCACTAAGCTGTTGCTTTGACAGCTGGATGTTACCTCTGACTATTTAATCTTTCAATTTCTGGAAAAGTCGCTCTTGTCCATGCACAAAAAATATTTTAAACTGTCACTGGAGAGGAAGCAGTCTGGATAACTTTATGATATTAATAATAAATTCACCGTATCACTAGAAAATAATTAAAATTAATGTGAAATAAAAGTGTTCACAGAAGATATTACTTTAGTTTAATTAAACTGGTGCTGCTGGTATGAAAAAAAAAAAAAGAAGGCCCAGCTATACTAAATCACTTGGTATGTGGTATGTACTCAGACACTGCTCTGGGCAACAAACAAATAAATAAATTCCCAAACAGCCCTACCTGTCATATCAACATCTAAAATATGCAACTCTCTTATCTTCCTCAGACTACATAGTAGAGCTGTTCCACTATCTCCTTGGGAAAAAACAGTGCTGTCAGCAGCGCTACTGCAGCCAGACTAGGAAGCAGAAAACCAGCTAAATAACTACATCTAGCTTCCCACACTCTCCAGGCTGCAGCCACTAATGCCCAGCACATGAAAAATCACCTTTCATTAATTATGCATACAGTCAAAGCACCGACACAGCAGGAGCTTGCTGCGATGCCACTTCACTTCAGGTCTGCGCACGAGGCAGCAGCAGCAACAGCCACCAGAAGTCAAAAGGACAGAAATGAGGGTGCTGTTCTTGGCAGATGGATGTTGCACTGGACTATTCCTCCTCTTAGCGGGGGAAAAGCACTGTCTGTTCACCCACTGAAATACTCAGTGCATTGCAAGGGAGGGTTCACACGGAGAGAACCATGGCAGGCTGCCATTCTTGATGGCATCCTCCAATAAGGACAATCTCCCGCTCCCCCGCCGGAACTAAAAAAACTGCTGAACGTTTCCTCTGTGCCCTGCCCCATAACGCCCGTTCATGCAAACATCTGCCCCTTGCCTCACAGCTCCTGTGCTTACACACTTGTGCCTACACTTCCTGCTCTTGTAGATCTCCTGGCATGGGAGCAACCAAATTTTTAGGGCAATTCCTAGTCCGCCCTGTGCTGTGCTCACCTGTCCGTGTTGTGAGGGTCGGTGTACCTCAGGTAGTACCAAGCAGAATCAACAAATGTATCCATGGTATCGACTTCTCGCCGTGCTGCTGCCTTACACCTGAGCAAGAGAGAAGGGAAAAAGCTAATTTTACATAAGTGACAAGCTTGGGAAAAAACCCAACCGTGTACGTACAGAGTGGTCATGAATTCATTTAGATTGAAAACTGAAAGGGTCCGAAGAGTCTGAAGAGCAATATGTTCAGAAGCTCAACACAAGTAACAGGGCACACTCTCCTTCCCAAACCAAACAACGTGGAAAGCACAAAGAAGCATGAACGGCTATAACATCCAGCAATAGCAGAACATGGCACTGCACCACACAGCCCTCTCCATCCTATGTCCCTGGAATTTTTTAGAATTGCCATTTCAAAAGGAACAAAGCAAGTCTTAAAGCACAGACAAGCATACTTGGCTATCAAATTAATGGGAACTCAATATATATCACACTCATTAGGTACCATCAGACAAATCATTTTATAAACAGTCAGCAGACAGGGCAGGTGGTTGCCTCTCTGATTGTCTCTATAAAAAGGTCTTTGCAGATTCCATTTATCATCTCCAGAAGAAATGAACTTAGTTTAATTTCAGCTTTCACTGAGATGCAGCAAATCTCTTCTAGGCCTTGTAGCACAATTTTAATTTGTGATTACTGCAAATCAGTTTTTGCTAGGAGTTATATTGGCAGCCCTGAGAAACAGTTTTTAAATAGATTTTAGAAGCTCAGGTTACTTTCTGCTAGTTTCTCCCTGAATATAAATTATTTGTTTGTGGGAGTCAATATTCACATTTGATAAACTTCCACTTGTTGTAAATGATCCCTCTTTAAAACTCTAACTATTAAAAGAATGGAATTATTCTAACAAAAATAAAACTTTGCAGCCTGTGCAAACTTGCACATTGCTGGCTATATGCCAGAAATGTATGCAACTTATAAATGTATGTATATTTACATTTATGTAAGCATATGTGTAATAACTATATGTAATAAATGGGCAGTGGCTATTTAATATTTTTCAACTGCATATTTAGTCTGTGATCAGGCTTGATAGCTGAGCTGCAGCATGTATCTGCCCGTCTGCCTGATATTTCAGCTTGGCTTGCTGAGGCAAGTTTAGGAGAGTATCACCAATTAACATTTTCCTTCTCTCTGTCTCTGCCCCAGGTCCTTCTCTACCAGCAAGTTTTTCTTTCAGTAGGAATAATGTAGTAAAGAATTTTTACTTCTAACTGCTTTTTAATAGAGAATAACCATTTCATTAAATTGTATATATAAGCAGAGACTTGGCCAATGTAAAATAATACTGTATTATATTGAAACAGAATGGCTTTTCAGTCAAAAGCAAGAATACTTTACAGCCATTGAACTGTAATTATATCTGCTTCATGCCTCTGATGTTGTCTGTATTCTAAATGGACATGGCTCACTGAGACAGACAGCATGGCCATCTTTCAAAATTTATACAACAGGCACAATACTGTAATCTCATTAGACGATCTTCAGACAACTAACACAATTACCTGGATAACAATGAATAACTTGGGCATCTCCTCCCATTTATGATCACTTACAGTATTGTCACTCGAATACTCACAGACTTTTGTATCTTTCCATCTTCCTTCCCTTATTAATTCTAGATATTAAATGCAACTGATGAAAAAAACCTGTTACTGGAGAGAAGGACTGAAGGAAGGGATGACGTAATTTCTCAGAGCAAGGAAAACCAGGGAAGATTGCACAAAGGCAATAGCTCAAAAGACTTGAAACTGTAACAGACATAGGGATGAGAAATACTGAAGACAGCTGTCAAACAGATAAGCAATAAGAAGACAAATAAAGATGAGAATTAAAAAAAAAAAAAGTTAATTTCAGCAAACTACCACATTTTAGGCTAAGAAACTAACCCTATATGCCTTTATTTCTGTCTAAACAAATGTCACTGATTAACTTCTAAGTAGGGCAGCCACAACAACTATCCAGAGGCCACAAGGATTTGCTATACATCAAAAGTACCTTGCTGCCTGGTAAACAACAAAATAACTTTTGAATTAAGGTCAGGAGGAAGCCAGGAGTTCAGACAGTGACTTGCAGTAACATGAGGAATTTTTCAGTTGTAATTAGGAATTGTAGACCAAGGCATTTCTAGGGATTTTACTAAATCTGTGGATCTTGTTTAATAAGGCTTCCCTGCAAGAGTCACACTTTAAATACACTAACTATATGTAATTTAAATAAGCATATCTGAGAAGAAATTTTCTATGCAGAAACATGGGCATAAATGTGTGTTTTACATAAAATGCATGCTATGAACAAAGGTCAAAATACATGTTCCCAGAGAAGAACTGCTGTGCACAACCTACCTAATTAGAAAGGAAAACCACACAGATATTCTACCCTGCAAATGTTAAAATGCAGCGACGTGTTATGAAACTGCTGCATTAACAATGAGAGCCCTGATGCCATTTATATGTCTGATTCCCCTGCCTGGCAGCCTGATAATGTACTCCCCATTTGGTCAGTCTGTCAGCAGCAGCAACATTGCACTGCTGATGAAAAACTCTGGGATAACTCATGTTCTACCAGTTCTTCTGCAGAACCTGTATGCAAACTCAAGTACTGCGTTCAGTTTTGGGCCCCTCACTACAAGAAGGACATGGAGGTGCTGGAGCATGTCCAGAAAAGGGCAACTGAGCTGGTGAAGGGTCTGAAGCATGTCTTGTGAGGAGCTGCTGAGGGAGCTGGGGTTGTTTAGCCTGGAGGAGGCTGAGGGGAGACCTTCTTGCACTCTACAACTACCTGAAAGGAGGGTGTAGAGAGGTGGGGGCCAGTCTCTTCTCCCAGGTAACAAGTGACAGGACAAGAGGAAATGACCTCAAGTTGCACCAAGGAAAGTTTAGATTGGATATCAGGAAGAATTTCTTTACTGAAAGGGTTCTCAGGCATTGGAAGGGGTTGCCCAGGGCAGTGGTGAAGTCCCCATCCCTGAAGGGATTGAAGAGTCGTGTAGACACAGTGCTGAGGGACATGGGTTAGGGACTTGTCAGTGTTGGGTTAACGACTGGACTTGATGATCTTATAGGTCTTTTCCAATCGAGGCAATTCTGTGATTCCCCTGTACAGAGTATCTAAGCAGCCCTCAAGATTAGACCACTGATATTCATGACATACCTCTCACTACTTAAATCAGGCTGTTTCACTCCTTAAACAACTGGACTGCAAGCAATAAAGATTACAACACTGACCAGATGTAATACTTACTACCTCCTTCAACCTGAATTACATGCTCTCATCTCTGATATACAGTGAATGTGATTCTTCATGATAAATAATTATATAGCTGAGGAAACACTTTATTGTTGGACTATTGCTAAGAAAATGAACACGATGTTTGTTGCCTTAACAAAAGGAAATAATTCAATAATCATTATAAGCTTTATATAAACTCTGCTGGGGAAAGATAATGAAGATTCTTGTAGTAAATGAAGTGAGAAATACTGTTAAGAAATGGAGGGAAGGGAGAAAATAATTATCTTTTCCCTTTCTTCTTTCCTTCAACTTAAAACCAGTAAGCTTTGCTCCAGCTTGTTTATGAAGAAATAGCAGTGGGTGTCTGTGTTGTAAAAAAAGGAGTTTTACAGAGTATATAAGAAAAAAACCGCTATGCTGGGTCAGACTAAACATCACTCTGGAGTACCATCCTGGCTCAAGAGCAGCCAGTTGGCAACACTTACAGAAAGAGCACAAGAAACAGGCAGGTACAAAGCGATCTCTCCGAGTCTGCAGTAAATGCAGCACTGGCGTACCTGGGACAGGAACAGTTCACCCATTCTGCAGCAGTTTCTAAAGGTGAGGCTCCCTTTCCCGTGAAGCTGGTTACACTGGGCAATACCACAGGTAAGTCTTCATAAGGTACGGGGACAGTGCCACATGTCTGGCAGTGAATGACAGGGATAGGTGTTCCCCAGTACCGCTGTCGAGATATTAACCAGTCTCTTAATTTATCACTCGTTAGGTCTCCACCTATTCCTTTATTTTTGGCCTGCTGGGTAATAGCTTTTAAAGCCTCCTGCCGAGTCATGCCAGTGATCTGATTTAAAAAAAAAAAAAAAAAAGAGAAGCAGAAGAAGAAAGAAAAAAATGTGTATTTGCTGTCAGAGAAAATGCAAGAACAGACAAATAAGTCACAAATGCCATTTCTGAGAGTCAAAGTTTATAAGCCTCATATTAATTTTCCCCTTCCTGCTGCTTAACATGGTTCTATTCAAGAAACTATTCACATACCCGTTACATGATTCATTTAAACCCTCTTAATCAAAGGGTAATGTTCCTGATGGCCCGAATAGCACAAGGCTGAGAAAGAGCCCTGCAGACTCCTTCAGCCTTTATTGGCAGATATTTGCATTTACTGCTGATATTTTAATCAACTGCTGTATGCTGAAATTTCCAGAATATGACCAACACAAGGCAGAGACTGAGGAAATGTGGATGGTGAAACAGCTTGCTTTCTCTGGCGTCCGTTTGGGGTTCTTCTATTCTTGCTTTCATATAAATCTCAACCACTTAGACCCTACCTGTCATGTAACAGAAGATGAGCTTTGCGTCTGCTATCAAATGCATTTTCACTGAGCTGTAACACCATATATACTTTATATTTTAATATAAGATTTCTGTCACTTCAGGCAGATATGTTACCAGAAAGGCTTATGCTACATTTCAATGAATATGTGGGAAAAGACCAATACATCAATATTTAGCTTAAAAATGTATTGAGTTGATGATATAAGAATCAGCTTTTAACATAGGATCAATTATTCAGTTTCCATTATAAAACTCAGACCAGTGTTGTAGCTTCTCCTGCACAAAAGGAAAAAACCCCTCATTTTATTGCTACAGAAGAACCAACATATTTCATCATTAAATGATTCCTAGAAATTTGGTAGCATAAGCCTGGCTTGATTCTTAATAAGCCTTTAAACATACAAATTATTTGGCACTCTTGGGAAAGCAGATTTAGTTTGCATTGTTATTATAAGTTGGAAAGAACTCCATGCTTGTATACCTACCTCTCCAGAATTAATGACTTTCTCCAAGCCATTTGGCAACGTTTCAATGACTTCAGTGAAAGCAATGCCCAGATTCTTAGCTACTGCAGCATCTTCTGCACTTGTACTAGGTATTCCTGTGGCAGGGGAAGTGAAAAAAAGAAAAAAATTAGTTCTGAGATTGACTGACATGGATATCAGCCATCAATTTGAGGATAAAACATTATATTTCTATAACACTCTCTTTATAATGACTTATGTTTGCCCAAAGGAGTTTAAAAAAATGCAAGAATAAAAATGTTTTAATGTTTAAGCAGTGAAATTCAAGCAGTAATAATTACAAACACATTTTTTCAGCTTCTTTGTAATTCAAATATTAATCAGTGGCCCTCCACAGAAAAGGCTGAAAATTAGATGGTTCAGAAAAAGCCTAAAAGTAAAGCTACAAAAGTCACATAAATAATAACATTTTCAATACAATTATATTACCTAAATACTATATGTTTAAATAATACAAATCTAAATTCTATTTGCCAATGTGAGAAACAAATACTAAAAAACCAGCCTAAATAGTCCTCTTGTTTCAATAGCAAATTTAATCTCTTTCTAATTTTATATTTATTAAAATGCACCACAACATAACAGTTGCTAACTTTACTATCCCTTTAACTTATTATGAAAGACATGATTTGTTTATAATCTCAGGAAAGCAATTCAAATAACATCAATTTTCTGTTTGGAATAGAACTACTGAGAGCACTTCCTACTGCTGTTCAAGTCAGTTATAGAAGTGACATTATTTAAGGCCCCTGATGCTATCTTTCCCTTTGCATTTTATTATTTGGGTCAGTCATAGATCTTGAATACAAGTTCCTCTTCTAAGCTACATAGACTTCTTTTTATTACAGCAATTTACCAGCACCATAAAATGACATATTATCTTTAAATATTTCTTACTCTCATTGATAGATGATGATACCTTCCCTCTGATTTTTCTGCATGTATTTTGAAAGACACTTTATTCCACTTTGGAGGACTACCTTTTAGGGCAAGTTAAGAAATTTCTTTATTACCACATGAATACTGAAATTACATTGCAATACTAACAGATTTATTATTTGCACAAGGAGATACATCTTTCTGCATATTTTCTTTTTCATTTCAGTGATAATTTATTTACTATTTTAAACAATCTTGCACAATTGCTGTCATCTTTAAAAGACAAAGAAACTGATTTCAACGAGCCAATGCCAACATTAGGTTGGTGAAAACTACAGACAAAAACTTCTAAAATATTGCTGAGCACATTAGAATTATTAACGTGCAAACTACTTCATTCAAAACCAGTTTAATGATCGCCTTTGTTCAGGCAATGAAACCCCTGCTACACATTATCGATATGTGGAAGTTTGGAAGCAGGTAACTAAAGAAAACCAAGCAAAACTGCCCTGTGACAAACAACTCCCTAAGTAGCAAAATATGGAACCGCTATTTTATCTTTCAAGCAGACGTATGCTCTTGTCATTTCAAGGCCCTAATATAGAATAATGTATGTATCTTAATTTGTCAGAGAGCCCTGCAGCCTGCAACAAATGGCTTCACAATATGCTCTACAAATGGAAAAAAAAAAAGCAGGCTCTGCTTTTTGGTCTTCATTCTTTTGAAAAGATGATGCTATTAATGTACATTTGCAAAGCTCAACAGCTGGCATCCACAACTTCCCAGGAAGAGTTGGGCTGTTTCCAACAGACATAAGGCCAAGGTATGTGCCAGTGAGCAAGCTGGAAACTTTTAATGAAAAATATGATTAGGTATCTCAATTATTTGGCTTCTCTTACATGAGCTGGGATTCTGGTTCTCAAAACCAGATTAATTTCTGAAGTGTAAGATGCAGGCATGTTGTAAGTAAGGTATAGAACCCAAGTAAATAATTTCTATCAGCCCTCTGAGGATTATCCAAGACATTTTTGCAGTGTCAGCTGGCTTTAATCAGTCCAGTCGTCATGCAGGAATAGTCAACATTGGCAGTGGTGTAGAGAAGAAAGGAGTAGTTCCAGGGCAGGAAAGAAGTATCAACAACAGGGAGGCAACATAAGGGACTTAAGGGATAGGAATGCAGTGGAAAGGGGGAAGAAGAGATAAAGAACTACTTCCTATTAGGATTAGCACAGAATATTGCATACTCATCGCAGCTGAGAACATAGAAAAACAAACCAGTAAACAAAAAGCTTGGTGGGTGCTGCTGATGAAGATACACTTTGCAGATTAAAATGGACACAATTTTTAAAGGTCAGTCCAATTTCTCATTTTACTTAGGACAGTCACATCGTCTAACCAGATATACTTAACTGCCTAGGTTGAGGGGCTAGACTCCCTATGCAGGAAAGGAGTAAGACAAGTTGCTTCATAGGATAATTTGAGAAGAGAAGCCCACTCCAGGCGATTCAGAGTATCCTCTAGCAAAGCCCTTCCTCCTCCGTTTACGGACGCTCAACCTTAAGTTAGGTGCCTAAATTGCAGGAACACTTCCTTTAGAGATAAAGGGTCCAAGATAACTGACCAAGACTCCCTGAACAGAGTTATTACATATTCCGATTTATTTTACTGATCTCAAGACAAATATTATCAGATAAAAGGCAAACTTGGAAGTTTTGTACATTTACTGTCTGAAACATTTCTCTATAAGGATGCACATAATTTACATAAACACAAGACAAAGAACAAGCTAAAACTCTGGGTTGTTTACAAAACATTTATGTCAAACAATGGTACAGTCCTGTTTTGATTAAGTATGGTGAGAGACAGCCAAATACCCATGCACTGTAGGTAATAAATCCTCTTAAGCTATGCAGATCCTCATTTAGCTCAGTAAACGTACTAATTTTATAATATTTCCATTAAAATTTATCATCCTGTAAATCTCTCCCCCAGACAGATTCCACATAGCTACTTTTCCCTTCCTTCTTCACTAATGAAGAACAGTAATGAAGAACAGGACTCCAAAGTTCAGAAGAGAGCCACTGTGTTCAAAGATTTGCCGCAACAGTATCTGGTGCTCCAACACAGCAATTGAAAACTCTGCTATTTCACTTAACACAATAAATGTCACATACCTATTTTAGTATCGAGAAAATTCTCAAAATTGTCTTTTGCTGAGATGACTACAGGAATCTCCTGATGGGTAAGCAAATTCACAGCTGTCACTGAAGTAAGCGAGTCTGAAAACAAATGTAATGATCACAGTACGTAAAATATGACAGAAAATACAGATCACAGTAAGTAAAATAGGACAGAAAATATGCTAAGAACATTACTTACTATTAAAACTCAGTTTATCTTAAGCATGCATGAAATTTAAATTAGAATTTTGTTTAAATAAGAATGAAAATGAAAAGCCTAATCACATTTCTAAAAAGTTCAGACATATTAAAATCTTCAGTAAGTCTGACTGATAAGTTTTCATTATTAGAAAACATACTTACAACAAACACTTGAATAAAAACAGAGTAAGATCTGGACTATAATTTTTTTTAAAAAAGTGAGTCCTTGACCACTATCTGTGTGCTCTAGTAAGCCTTGGATTATACACTAGAAGACATTACAAAATTAAGCAAAAAATTCAGATGAAACTGAAGGGGAGTGTATATACTATGCTTATGATTTACTTTCTTACAGAAGAACTAAAAAGCATGAGAAATATTGACCAGTGTAAAAAACGAAACCTAAAGAACCAACTGATTTCCAAACAGAATATTCATATTCATATTAGAGATGACAAATTTCATGTCAAACTTCAGGGGAGGGGAGAGAGAAGAGAAGAGAAGAGAAGAGAAGAGAAGAGAAGAGAAGAGAAGAGAATCAAGAGCGATAAACTGAAATTGATTTACAACGTGTAGCTTTGGTGGCTTGCCAAGAAGAAAATCAAACCTGAATACTCCAAGTTTTGAGGATTCAAACCCCACATCTCAGTCTGGACCTGTTTCTAACCTTTTCAGTGCCTTTAAGTTGATGATAATTGAAATAATTAAATTATTAAAATAATTAAAATACAGTCTGCTAAGAGCTTCCTTTCACCTATCTTCATAGCTAAGCTGAGGAAAGTCTCAGTCTTGTATTGCTCCGTATAACATCTGCTTGAAATAAAATAACAGCATTTTAGAGAATAGGGCTACTATACCTCATCAGTCTTCTTGACACAAACAATATATTTATTTACTTTTCACTACTACTCTTTCATACTTCAGGTCTCTGAGATACCCATATTCTAGATAAAATTTCTCACATTCAAAGCACCACACATAACTTTCCTCCTCTGTTGAAAAAAAATGTACGAAAGGTATAATTGCACTCTTTAAAAGCAACTAAGCAAAAAGCCTCACGAACAGGATGCTAAGTGGGCAGGATAGTCTGCTTTTAAAAATAACTTCTCTCTTCTACCCAACAATAGTTTTGATTTTATGCTGGAACCCAAAATAATAAGTTCAGTTTATGAAGGCACTCTTTCTTTTGCTCATTTGCTCACATCATTATTATAATAGCTGTAAAGAGATGACATTACAGTTACAAATGTAAAATAATGTATGCATAGTATTATAATAAGACAATGAGCAATGTAAGGATCAAATCTTTATCTCAGATACCTCACACTGACAAAACTACAAGACTTATCAGATTCTAAATCAAAATAAATGTTTGCTAGGCTAAAAAAAAAAAAAAAGTTTGAAAACCGGTTGCTCACCTCTATTTAAATAATAATAGGCTGAAATACAGAGTGGTACTCCAAGAGTAAAAGTATCAGAACTTTAAGTTATTTTGCCATACAACATCTTTTTTTCCCCGCTCTCCTAGAAAACACAACATATACCCTCCTAATCATTTAAATGAAAATTCAGTGAAGAAAGGGAGTTACAAGACTATCTATGATGAAAGGAAAATAATGACAATTTTAATGCTACCAATGAATGTTTTTAAAAAAAATCTTGATAAATAGGAAAGTATGGTCTATCCAAGACCATCAAATTTTCTTTTTACTTAAATGCCATTGCTGGCCCTTCATCTGTACTTCATCTGGCTGAAATGAAAATCTGAAAGTCCATGTAGAAATTCTTCTCATTAATTTTCTCTTCTTTGGAAAATACCAGTCCGTGCCTTTGAAATGTTTAAAAAAATAGTAAAAAATACCGGCTAATTTAAAATGAAGAATGCACAACAGCAGGGTTACAACTCTAGAATTGTGTCCACTTTAAAGCCTCTTTTTCACAGTCTAATGGCTGTCATTATTCCAGATAAGAGTTTCTTAATTTAGCTCAACCAGAAGGTAAGTTTATTCTTAACAGACACAAAAAAGCCTTTCAAGTATTTTCACATAAAAACAATACAAAAACCATATTGTAGTCCTTATTAAAAACTAGTTTTCCACCTGTGTGGTTTGGCTTAAAGTACAAGATCCAACAAAGATACAGACATGTACGTGGATGTGCGCTTCTGGGCTTAGAGCTTTGATTTGGCTGAACTGTAAGAACTACAAATTTCTTCTTTTGTTCCTTAATAAGAATTCTCCAAGCTTTGCTCAGCTCTGAGACAAGGGCTCTACATACTCACCACATTCAGGCTCCAATTTTTTCTGTTAGTAAGTGAACTTTATTAAGGTTATAGAAATGAAGCACTCAAAAATAAAGCAGGTTCCATTCAACCATCACAACTTCCCACAAGATTCCTGCTTTACTGCTGCTGACATTAAATGTTCTATAGATAATGAAGCCACATGTTTACCAGTGAGGAAAAAGTAAATATTGTACACCAGCATGAAGTGGAAACAAAATATATTCAGTACACTTTGTAGTCTTATAATTTTCAAGTTTTCCAAACAACAAAAATGGAGGAGGCCAGGGGTGCTAAATAGAGGCAGAATTGGTGGTAGGAGCCTTCAGGAAACCAATCAACACCAATTCAAGAATTACCACTTATTTGTATCCTCTGTACAAGTCAGGACCTGCCACAGGGCTACTCTGAATTTACTCTGTTAGAATCTTCTATTAACTAAGGATCTGCACAGCAGAGTATTGTTTCACTATCTATCAGTGATCCACTTTGCTATGTATTAGTGATCTCTTGCCCTTTTTATAGTACCTCTGACAGGAAGAGATCCTCATTGGTACAAGAGCTGGTTCTGCTCTCTTTGTGATAATGACAGATTACCATACAGCCATGAGATTTTCCAAGGGGCTGACATAGTCAGAGTTGGACTATTCACTCCTGGTACATGAGAAAACAAGTATCTGTTCCACTGCCTTTAAATACTAAGAAGTTTTACAGCTGTTATAAAAGGAAGAATTCGAATGTAGCTGCTGTTCCTGTATCTGAAGCCAGGACAGGCTGATGTGATACTGTCTGACATATACAAAGATACACACAAATCAAAAGACCTGTTCATCCTCAACAGGAGCAGCTCATACTCAGCTTGACACACACTCTATGAAAGATCATCCTCTCAAACTGTTCCTCTTCTACAACAAAATACAGTATGACAAAAATATCACCTTTCCCTGGGATGAACTCCCTCTGAAAGGCTTCCTTGAGACTGCTGTTCCCATTCAGCAGTCTATGAGTTGGTAAGATATATAGATGGGAAGCTCCATAAATGGCTTCAGGCGTATAGGTGTAAGCTGCTAGCTTCTCTTCTGTTACTTCACCACTAACCTGAAAAAGAGCAGAAAACATCCCTGATGAATTTGTGGTTTTCTCCTCCATTGGAAGTGCAGTGGTTTCAGATTCCCTTTCCTTTTTATGCAATAACAAATACACATCACCCTGTAGAAACATAGAATTCTGAATATCAGCGCCAGATGCACTGCCATTATAGGGAGTTTCTAGAATCAAATCTTGACAAAATTTAGTTTTAAGACCTTAGGAAAGTTGCTTTACAATCTTGCCTCAGTTTATCCAAATGTATATAAAAATATTTATATTCTGAAATAATATGTAATATTATATCATGCTACTGAGCTAGATTCAATCCCTGGTTAAGTAACCTGGAATTCTTCTGTTCTCTTCTAATATGCATGCCCTGTTTCCAAGAAACGGAAACGAGATGTTACCTCTGAAATCTAAAGATTAAGATTTTCTCAGCTACCAGGCTTTCCACCACACTTCTCTGATGAAGTCAATGCTGCAACTTACGTACAGAAATAAAATAATAAAAGGTAGCACAACATTAAAATAACTGGATATAAAATTAAAGTAATAAACCCAGAAGACTGCTTAAGAATTATCACCCAGCACTATCAACAGATTTTATACTTTAGGTCAATTAAGTGTGACATGCATGGGCATCTTAGGAGATTTTTTTCTACAACAGGTATTGATACACATTTTCAGAAACAATTGACAAAAACAAGTTAAATACAAAAATGTACCTTCTAGCATCATGTAATTCAGAAGTATTAAGAAAGTTTAAGCTGTCTCAATTTGAGGTTCCCCAAAATTCTGTGTTATTTTAAAATAAGAAGTCACTTTAAAAATGCTAGACCAGAGTAAATGAGCACAATAAAGCTTTGAAGCACAAGGGCTGAAATTTCATCAGGGTCTCTGAAAATCTCTTCTGCCACTATCACATTTAAAAAGCCTTTTGTTTCTCTTCAAAAGGACTTAAGATTTTACCATTTTTCTCTAGATAATTATAATTCTCTTAGGGCTTCTTGTTCCTTCGTCTCCTTTCTTTTTATCCAGACATCTCTGTAGCTCCATCACTACCTAACTGTCTGGTTTTCATTACTTTAATTGCTGTATGTAATAAAGGAAATAATGGATAAATGTCAGTAAAGTGGCTTGCCTGAGGTCAGCTTGGGTCTGACAGAGGAGATGCTGTGCAGAGCAGAGCTAAAGCCCAGCTAGATCCAGCTGACTTGTGCAGTGCCACTTGATAGGGGAGCAGTACCAAGAGCACTAAGTGTCCTGGCTTTCAGGAATGCTTATTAGCTGGCACCTATTTGGCAGAAAAACACACAGCCAGTTTGCATCTGATGTTGCACTAGAACACACAAACCCTTTCCTAAGGAAGACATCAGGGACTCACAAGTACTGTTCTTCAGGATCTGTCCTGGTCTGGGCATGAACATATGATAATCTTTTTTAGTATGTTTCAAGCTTTTTATATCTGAAAATCCATTCCCATCGCACATTTCAGGGGTTACAGTTAGCCCAACAAAGGTAACTGAAATTTTTTACTTACCTTTAGTAAGAAGTCAAGAGAACATCCAACACAGTCACCTATCCAATTTGCTTGCATTTCTTTTATACCATACCACTGAGGGAGATCAGACAAAGCATCAAACATAGCCTGATGCAATAAAAGAAAGAATTAGAAAATTCAGCTTTTGTAAGCATACAAATTAAGACTATGGATTTAACTATAACTAATAGTAAAATGATAAGGTGCCTGTAAAAAAAAACATAGGAAGAGGTGTTTTTATACTGCTGCTGCCCCAAATTATTCTCTTTAAGAACAGAACTAACACGGCGCAAGCCAGGGGTATGACATCTCCAATAGAGATCCGACTTGTCATTAAAAGAGACTTTCCTTGTAAATGGACTAAACCTTAAACACAGAACAAAAGCCTTAGATGAAAACAAACACAGAAAATATTCCCAGTGGGTGTAAATTGTGGGAAATGTAAGTGACCTAACGAGCTGAACAAGACTACTGACACACAAGAGATGTGCTTAAAGGTATGAAGACTACATTTGGATTGGTTGTTCTAGAGAAGAGCCTGGAGATGGCAGTCAGACAAAGTTTTCAAGCTCTGACTTAAAACAGCAAAATAGAGTTTCCAACTGTCTATCTATTTTTCATATTTCATATTGATATTTCACCAAGCACAACAGGCTGTAAAACTGAGTGGGATCTTTAGGTGATATCATCCTGTCAAACAAACAAACAAAAAATCCCCACCAAATTAAAAAAAAAAATAAACAGTATAATATATTATGCAGCAAAGAAGAAATTAAGCATTGGCTCCTTCATCAGCCATAAAGCCCAACAGCCAACCTGCAACTTTTATGTATATTTATACTCAGCAAGAGCTACATCCATCTATCTACATGCTTTATGATGGGCATGGAAGTTTAACAGACTATTCAAAGTCAACTACTATTTGCCTAAACCATTTGAACAATATGTTTTAATAAAATAAATGTATAAAAAAAATAAAGGAGAAGACATACAAACCGATGAATAACTCAAAGCTCATCTAATTTTTCATTTCATAACACTTCACATTTGTGTTATGAATACTCCATGACTGTCCAAAATCATTACTTTAGCAGAAGTACAGCCAGAGGCATGAGTCACTCGGAGAGCTAGTGGATATGCTGAACAATTACAGTTAAAATCTAAGAATATGGCAACACATTGAATAATTTTTCCTTCAGCTGTGACTCCCAACATCAAATGTGCAAGCTTTTTATTATCTCATTACTTGCTAAAAACCTGCAAGAATGGACAGTAGCTATTATGTGCTGCTCAATTTAAATAGTGGGTAGTTTGATAATTAGTGAATAGACAACTCATTCTTTTTCAATTGTTGTGTTTTAACTACATTCTTAAGTATTTTCAGAGTGAGATGTATAAAATACATTATAAGGATTAATTTTTAGTTACTGCTTTGTTGTATATATACACCATTCAAAATACAACAAAGGGTATGTCCTTCATAGATCATAATATTACACCACCAACTGGGATTTTTATTGCTTTCTACATCCTTAAGAATCAAATTCATTTTCTGATTATTTACATGTAAAAGAATGGTAAGGTTTTGAAAGGTTTTTAATCATACTGTAACTTTAATCAGTTGTACCTCACAATTGCAAGTATACCATATCATCCAAATTCTCATTATTCCCATTAATTTTAGTGTTCCAGAGACTACTAAACTTTATCTGTCATGAATAATCCGTGTACATATATACCTACCAAAGAATAATGAATAACTGGTGATATAAAGAGCTATAGAGATATATATACACAATACTTGGATAAATTATTTGTAAGAATTTTATGCATTTTAGAAAGAATGAATTTGTGTCAATACACACCAAACTGGATGGACATATTAGCAGATTTTTATAAATTCTCCTGCTTGGATATCCATCCTAATCTACTCTACATTTTGCTGGAGAACCAGCTAGATGTGTATGTGCTCTCCTGAAACTGTACAGTCTGCAATTGCTTGCCAGCAAAACTTTCTAGATGTTTTTTCACTGCTGGATTAATAAATACATCAAGATCCTTGCATACCTTGTATACCAGTGTGATAATGATTTTAATTGTAGTTAGTCTGCCTTATTAGGAGCTATAGGCTACAGTTTGACTTAGTGCAATTCTTCTCTTGATAATGTAATTTTTTCATACAGCTAAATACAGTAAGAGCCAACTTAGCCTCACCTGAACGAAGATAACAAAACTTACTCTGTATGACACAGCCTAGCAGTTTGCAAACACAAGCCCCTCACATCTTAATATGCACATGAACAGTAGTATAACGTGATTAAAAAAACAAACAAAAACTTAAAAAAAATTCAATATGGAATTAGGATTCCCTGTTCTTTGTACCCAATGACTCAACACACTACTCTGGTTTCTTGTCAAGGCAACGAATAGCAGGTGAAATGGAAAATGAACATGTGAAACACAAACACTTTACATACTCTTTACAGAGGCAAAAAATATACAGCATGTATACTCTTAGCATGTTTGTAAGTGTTTCTGGATGGTAAATTAACCTAGGATACTCAAAACAGGAAAGCAGAAAAGCACATTAATTCTTAGACACATTATTGCATTGTACATTCAAAATTCATCCATGCAAATTAGTAGGTTTTAAAAAATTGCTTAAGGGAAACATTTTTAAAAAATTTTTCATTTTCAAATCCAATTGCACTACACCCTGCAAAAACACAAATCTATAAATGCATGTTAAAACTATTATTAATTTTTAAAAGTTATATGTAGCCTGTTTGGGCATACAAAACTCTTGAATTGAAGCTGACCAATGCTAGCATAGAAGTTCCTGAATATTATAAGCATTTCACTCCATGAATTTTGCTTCCACGTTCTTTTTTAAAATTACTGACATGTTTGGTAAAACATCTTACAAATCATTGCAGTAGTTCCATAAATTGTTTTCCAATTATTATTTTGCAATTACTGATAACGACTCCTTAAACAAAAATTCTGACCCCTAAGGGCATGTACATAACTCCTAGTCAGCTGTGCCACAAGTCTGTTAACTAGGTAACAAAGAAAAGACAATCAACAAGAAGACTCCCAGCACACAGGCAAATAAAGAAAAGTAAAACCATGTTGGATTCTGCAAAGGACAAAGAACAGCAGCAGCATTACAATCCAGTAAGCAGAGTGTGACAAACTTATCAAGGGGGATTGGACTAGATGATCTTTCGAGGTCACTTCCAATCCCCAACATTCTGTGATTCTGTGTGATTCTGTAATAAATTCAATTTTCAAATTTCTGATGATGACTTAATAGTGAGAAACTTGGAAACATTAGGTAGCAGCGTCTTTCTACTTTAATTTTTCATGGCTCAGGAAGAGACAATAAAACTTAAATTCAAACATCTGATTGCAAGAGAAATGACTCCCACCTTAATTAAACTCAAGTCAAGGTAAAGCACAAATACATTTTGGCAGTCTTTCTTTGGTAGATCTAAGGATAGACAGACTCAGGAAAAAGCTAAAGAAATCAAAGCTGCATTCAGGGATGAAAATTACTTCAAGGCTCTTACAACTTCAGGAAAGTCTGACTTAAATGCTGGAGAAGTTGAAGACGATGATGACCAAGTCTGAAACTAGAAGTAAAGCATTTGAAAGTGGAAAATCGATCTCACATGTCCGGCTGTTTAGTCTGTTGAAGATTCATAAAGAAACAGAACTTCAGTTTAGGAATCTTCAGACAGAAAAAAATACATAAAATCAAAAAGCAGAACTGCTTTATTATTTCCCAAGAGTATCTCAACTCCAAAAGTCCCCCTCCTGCTGTACTTCAAAGAGGGAGGATTCTGCTGAGCACCTAAAAAATTCAGTCTCTTGACTTCGGGAACTAAAGTTTTTAGTATGATCAATGCCTGCCACTATTTTCATACTTAGTGAGAGGATTTCAACTCCTACACGATACTAAATTAAATAAAGTGAAAAATCTAAATATAAGTTATAAAGCCGAATGTTTATACTCTTTTTTCAATGAAGACATTTCAATGAAGTTTGACAAATTTCCGACATAACAAGGCTAAAATAAGAAGGTCAGCAAAAGGTTTCATTACAAAAGCATTCAATTCATTAGGAAAATAAAATTATCTTCTACTAAATGAAAATAAAAAGCTTTGCTTCTGAAGAAGAGTCAAAGAAATATTCAAGATCTGTTTGGACTAAAACGATATTCTTCACTTTATTTGACCACGCTCCCAAAAGACAAACCAAATATAAACTAAAGATTACACAAAATGGTTTAATACAACTTAATATATTAACTAAAGTACAGAAAATTAAAGTTAGGCTGCCCACTGTTTTATTTTGCACTCTATTGCACAGTTCTAACTGTGATTATGCAGTAGAGCTTCTGCTGGTATTTAATCTCTTCTTGTTCTGGTGTTTGGGTTTGTTTTTTTTAACCTTCAGTAGTTTCTGCCTATACTATCATAGGTCACTCTTGACTCTCATTTCCCATGTATGTAGTACACTGAAAACTTACGTTAAAAAGAAGCAACAACACAGATACCGTGTGTGCTTAAATTTTTTTCTCATAAATGTCTGAAGTGTCAAAGTTTTTCCCCTTCTTTATCATGTAATTTATGGTTTAGAAATACCTCTGGTTTGATTATGTAGAACTGAGGCAAAGAAATGATTCCTCAAAAGCAAAAAGTAATGCCAGCATCCTCCAGATTTGCTCTCCAGAGTTGTTCTCATTGTACCAATTACCAAAGGCAAGTTATTCCCTTTCCAATATAATGAAGCATATCTTTGGGATAAATGACTAATTGATTCCATAAATATAAATGCTCTTTTAAATACTTCTTATCATTTTTAGTAGTACTGAGCATTCACCATTTTCATTAACCTTATACCAACAAGAACTTAAATTTATATTGCTGTAGCATCAAATGAGATGCTGCATTTAAACTAAGGTAGAAAGATCAGCCTGGTCTGGATATTCACAATTTTCTGTCCTGCCAAGTTGACAAAATGGTTGTCAGTTTTATCAATGAAGTGCTAAGCAAGCTGTGGAGACAGTGCTCTTGGTCCCTGTCCAGGAGAGAGCTCTCAGC